GGCTAAGTGGGTAAGACGCTAGCTCGCTAGCCTGGAGGTCGGGTGTTCGATCCCTGCATTGGCCGAGAAAGTTCATCCAGATTTTCCGGCGTGGTTCTCCCTTGTCAGTGATGCAGGACGGAGGGGCTGACAAGGAAAGCTGTCTAGTCGTTCTGATGGGACGAAAAACCGAGGTCCCGTGTACACATTGGCGTGCACGTAAAAGATCCCTTGGCAGTTGGAATTCGATATAAGAGTAGGCCGTAGTGCCGCTGCCCGGGCAAAATTTCCCTCATAGCACACTGTATGGCGTATGCCCGTCTTCATTAGCCCAGGTTAGGAGCAGAACAGTAGGACGTTAAACTCCATTTCATTTCATTTCATTTCATTTGTAAAAACAACTATTTCACTGCTAGCCAGTGGAATAACACTTTTATTTCACTGATAAAACGCGGTATTCCACTACTGATCATAAAATAAATAAGGATGTAACTACTTCTCTATTATTTAATAACGACGTTTCGTAACACATACAAGTCACGTTTTCAAGTTAATGATAAATATCCATCTAGTCAGCCTATTTATACATATTTTGGCTTACACCAACTTAATTAATAATCAGAAGAAACCATTAAAATAATTAGAAGCACCTACAATAACAATAAATAATACAAACAATAATAATGATTGAACCCTTTAGTAGGATAATAACAGCTAATCAGTGCTATAGACCGTACATTTTAAAGGACCATAAGCCCTAAACAGTTATCTCCGCTGCCTTGGCAAGATGTCGCCGAGAGGTTGCTCCATGGCATATGCAGGAAAGTTAACATGTACTGTATGTGCTTCAACATTTTATATTAGGTCTGTATTGAAGGAGTGGGGGGGAGAGAGAGAGAGAGAATCAAGGTGTTCGGGATAGGGCTTTTGAATGAACTAACACAAGAAATGTTTCGAATGGATCTGAATATTGATTTGCGAATCAATTATATACCGTCAAATGCAATCAGACCGACACCTTTCCAGTAAATTAGATTATTCCGATACAAGGTTATCTAGAGATGCATGAGCGCTTGTCGAATAGTGTTGATCTTCTGGCGTTGGATTCTAATTCTATGACGAGGAAACACTTCACGCCTCATCTAACTCCTGAAAGTTCTTGGGTCAATGTGTTTGCTCAGCGAATTCGGGAAGTCTCCCCCCCCCCCCCCTCGTCCCTTTATTCCCCGGTTTTGTGTCTTTTGGGGGATCGACCCTGTTCCCGTTTGGACCCCATTATTGCATACTCATGTGTTTTCGAGTTTACCTTTGGGCCCCGCTGGAGGTTCCGTCTAAGAAAAGATTCCCCAGAGAAACCCATGGACGAAAGTGGTCATTGTCTGCTTAGTTTGTATCTTAATTTGCTTATTTGAATTTTTAGAAATTGATTAATTTGAGAAGATTTCCGAGAGCATACTATAGTTGGACAATAGATCCACAGAAGCAATTGCGTTTAAAAGACGGCTGGCTATTTTACGTTTGATTAGAGGTTTTCTATTCCAGCTTCCTGCTCGCCAGAAGATGCGAGAACGTTTTATTTGAAAGGATTGTTTTTGTAAATCAAAAATTCATAATCTTGATATAGACACCTATATAGGTAATCATAAGATCGAGGACCGCGTTAGTGTACCGACGAGGCTTTGTGTTGGTACGGTAGAAGGCCTCGTTCGAAACCTCTGGGTTATTTTCCGCGATCATGGTTCTCTTGTCGTGGTAACCTGGTGTGCTCACCTTTCATAAAGGTTATTAAAAATTAATACGCTGCTAAACCTATTTTTCTTTGGAAAGTTCGGTGTATCGCAATTTACATAAAAACCCGGTTGTGTCGACCGGATTTAATGCTAGGAAAAGATTCGTTCTGCTGGACGATCAAGCTTGGTTTAAGCTTCAGTCTTTCGCGGGTGATTGAACAGTGTGATCTTGCAAAAGTTGTTTCCCGGAAAATTATATGCCTAGATGATGGATCCAGTTTCGTTTTCAATCATACTTTAGGGCAGTGGTTCTCAACCTTTTTTTGCCAATTGCACACCTTGGAACACATGAAAACATAGAAGCACACCTGGCTAAATATATATGAAAAATATTTGAATTTTGCAAAATAAATACATTGCAAGTCAGACGGCATACAACCGTAGAAAAAGGCTCGTCATAGAATGACTCGAACTAGATAAAGAAAAACACAGCTATGAACTTGTCAGTAGACAAAAGTGAATACTCAATTGGGATCACGTGGTTTTTCGCATTTTCTTAGTGTGCTGTTCAAAATTCCGTGGCACACTAAGGAAGATCTCGCGGCACACTGGTTGAGAATCACTGCTTTAGGGAAACACTCCGCGGTTTTAAGGCGAAGAAGAAGTCAGTTTGTTATTACGCTTTGTGGGTATAAGCTTTTCTACTGAGTTGTTTTTGGGTTGGTATAGGCTCATGGCTGTTAATTTATCGAATGGTTATCTGTTTCGGATTGCGTCTGATTCTGGGACCGGCCCTGATATAATCCTGTTACCTGTTCTGTCGGTTATGAGCGCCTTCGTTTGTGTTGGTCCACTCTGGGTCTCTATTACATTAGAGTGAAACCCAACATAGTTTCAGAAGTGGGTGCGCCTTGACTCTGGCTCTATCGGGTCCAGATGTTGACCCGAGGGAAATTATGGACCATTGTGGTTGGTTTATTAAAGGAAGTGCTGAATATTATTCTCACACAGGTGTAAGGAATGGTGTGAGAGTGTTTTGATATTCCAGGGGTATTCTGCTTATTGACTATCTTGAAAAAGGAAGATGCCGACCTTCTGAGACAAAGCTACTCGACGGGGAATGCTCACGAATGGCGCCCTGTTCCACCAAGACAATTCTCCTGTTCATATGGCTGATGACCATGTCAGCGATCCAAGATTGTCGCAGCGAACACATTGACCATCCACCTGAATTGGCCCTGTCAGATTTCCACCTGTTTGGACGTCCGTTTACATTTGTTTGTGGGCAATCTAGAGGTCACGATTGTTATCTGATTTTGATGGAACTTAAAAAGATGTATGTTTATGTCCACCAAATCTCGGATAGGCTCGATTTTGGTGAGAACCAGGCCGCACTTTCTTGGCTATGGTCTCCACTTGGAATTGTGAAATATGCACGAAGTTTGTGGTCTCCCTAGATGCCGCCATGTTGGGTCCGGGAGGAGTTCAATTCAGACCACATAGCCCATTCTGGAACATCCTGGTACCGCCATTGCATTGGACTAGGCACCATCATGAGTTTAGAACAGCTTAAACAGTTAAAGATCTTTAAAAGTGTCACAGTGCTTTAATTCCCATATTAACATATATAATATAGTAGAAATCACGTTCACAGATTAAACTTAAAATAGGCCAAATACATGTTTATACATATACAAATTAACATATCAAAATGTCACCCAGAGGTTAAAGATAACATAAGATAAACTAAAAGCATTTATGGATATTACTTAAAATAAATTCCTTTAGTGTAAGGAGGGGTTGATGGCTGAATGGTTAGTCTGTCATTGAGTCAACTGAGGTGGTTTCAATTATCCTGGTTGTACGTGACAAGGAGTAGGGTCGCTGGTCCAACCTCATGGGTTTTCTCCAGGTCCTCCGGTTTCCTCCCACTGCTAAAGACCCCTACGCGCAAGCAAATTGTTGAAATAAAATTGAACCATATGTTATTCCCAAAATAACCTAGTTTGTGTCAAGTGGACGTTAAACCCTCTCTCTCATCTCTCTCTCTCTATCTATCTCTCCCCTTTAATGTAACTTGTAGCCCCAATCCCCTCCCACAATCACACTTATCATATATCCATATATGGCAAAACCCTAAAGGTGTCACTTAATCAAATGTTTATTGTAGGCCATGATTTGTACCTAAACTCTAATTTATTTAATAGTGACCATCTCTATTTATTCTGCACATAGAGGTCCATCTATTTCATACTTCGAGAATAGATCTCTACCTTGAGATATCCAAACATGCGGTTCTACCCTTTTCTCAACTGTCATACACACAAAAACTAAACTTTTTCAATTGGAAGCATATTAAATACATAACAAAATTCTCTAAGTATAGGCCTACTTAGTGTTTTCAACTAAAATCGTCAATATAGGACTCAAAATGTCAGTCAACTAGCTTAGTGTCTGTAATGTAGACGGACACCCTAAGTTTAGTATGCATGATTAGTAATAGATCACCAATACACAGCTATTTAAAGGAAGGGACATATGATAATATGGAAGCGAACGAAGGATTATATTTTATTAATAGAAGAATCCAAAAGCCTTCATATGATATATACATGACAAATTATTGTTTGTATTCTACCCGAGCTAATTATTATATACAGCATTACAACACAAACTATTCTATGGGACCAATGTGGATATCATAGTCCATATGCACAACCATTAAAAATACATAAAAAAAATCAACATATTATAATTTCTTAATATTCCAAAAAGGCAAATAAATTAGTAAAATAATTTAAAAAGAGACAAAAACAAATAAATACATTATTAATATTATACACAGAAAGGAAATGTCCAATGTTTATATCATTCAAATTTAATTTTTAAAAGAAGGACACTTTTCAAAAATCACAATTAATTAAACAGCTTTATCACAGAATCATATATATTCAGCAATTAATTACAAAAGTCCATATTTCCTATAAGCGAAAAAATACATAATAAGTAGGCCTTAAATTACAACACTAGGCTCTGAATTTATTAACATGCTACGTTTCTATACACCTACAGGTATCATCTATCAAGCATATAAGTGTTTTTAATTTGTGAAATCTACTTTTATATGTCTTATGATTATGTTAAAGTTACAATTTCATATTTTCTAAGAAAGTCAAAACATAATTATTTCTATGTCTTTTGCTCAAATGGTTATTATACGATCATAGGTTATCTTTCTCACACTTAAAAAACTTAACACCGGAAATAATAACACAATTACCTCCCAATTACCTCCCTTGTTTTCCTATTCCCCACCATGGAATAGCTATCTTCAAACGTTTGAATTTAATGTTGAAAATGATATTTTTGCCAATTTCTCAACTGGCAATAGTGAATTATAGGATTAATAGGATTATTCTTTAACAAGGTAGGACTGTTTATAGATACCCTCTATTTTAGGGCTTTATTTTAATACATTTTAAACTTAAAAATATGAAATTGTAACTTTAACACCAGGCTCATTTATATCATATTCTTTTAACCACTGAACAACATTTAATTCATATATTTTATCATTATCATATTTAATAAAGTTTACATACAAAGTTAGTCAATGGATGTATATAAATATACAAATATCAATAAACACTAGGGACCGGGTATCATTCAGATTTGATGAAAAAAGAAAAGAAACTGAGCTTACCATCTATAATCTAATACACATATTCAGTTAATAGATTGCCATGCAGAAAGTATTAAATACCATCAAGATTCATCAAATAACTCCCAGTTTGTGCTACCGTTTAGTTTGACATCGGTTGTCTAGTTTATGAAACTAAATGGTCATAAACTGGATGACCAATATCAAAACTAAACTAAATGGTCATAAACTTGATGACCGATGTCAAAACTTAATGGTGTTTCTTAAACTAAACGGTAGCACAAACTGGGCGTTATTTGATGAATCTTGATGGTATGTAATACTTCCTGCATGGCAATCTATTAACTGAATATGTGTATTAGATTATAGATGGTAAGCTTAGTTTTTTCTTTTCTTTTTTCATCAAATCTGAATGATACCCGGTCTTTAGTGAATTATCAATGAATGTATATAAATATACAAATATCAATAAACAAAACATACTTAAAGATGCACTATGTAAGATTTAGATAAAGAGTTGGCAGTTCTTGATATAATAGTTTAAAAATAAATAGATTTTATTCAAATTACTTTATTCTGAGTGACGTTACCACTGTTTGAAATGTTGACATAGATTGTTTATTATCATAGCAACGTTACTTGTTAATTAAAACATTAAATGACGATCATATTTCAATCCGTCTACATCTGTGCCATCCAATATTCCAGAGAGCTGATTAATAGGCTTGTCATGAGAAGAATAATTGTTTTAATAATAATTTATATACCACTTGAAGCCAACGTAAAAACCAGCAATAGAAAGATTTAGCTGTTAGATAACGCATCTTTAAATGGGCTAATAATCACTGGTTATTATACCCAGGCATGATGTTTAAATAAGTATCCTATTATTATCCTAGTTTAATTGTCGAGTGCGAGACATTAAGTAATATACATTGTACTCATATTGCACAAGGGCTATATCTATATATTACGCAATGTCTTGCACGATATCATTAAACAACAGACACTATACAGCACGTGCATTTCAATGAAATATGTCACGCAGGTCAAATATTTCAACTAGTGTAAATAATGTACGCTTGGCACATTGGCTGTATATCTATACATTACGCAATGTCTTGCACGAGATCATTAATAAACTTAAACAACAGACACTATCCAGCACATGCATTTCAATGAAACACGTCACGCGGGTCCAATATTTCAACTAGTATAAATAATGTACCCCTGGCACATTGCCCGTACCATTATTTCATGATACGCCAACATCAAAGGATGACGTCACACCTGTATTTTAAATATAACAACTCAGTGACTGTTGTCCTATATACCTGTGTTAGTTTTGTTATGTTTGCAATCACTAAATGCCACTAAAGGTAAATATCAATTAAATTGTATACATGTTATAAGCACTATTTATTATTTGTTTACATCACATCTAGTCACTACATGGAAGCTAGCTGATAAATTAAAATTTGCATAATAATTGCGGAAAAAATGTGCGATAAGATAAGGAATGAATAGATTTCTAAATATTGAATAGATTGTCTTAATAATGAATAGATTTCTAAATAATGAATGAATAGATTTCTAAAAAATGAATGGATAGATTTCTAAATAATGAATAAATAGATTTGTAACAAATAAATGGATAGATTTCTAAATAATGAATGGATAGATTTGTAAGAAATGAATTGATAGATTTCTAACAAATGAATGGACAAATAAATGGATAGATTTCTAACATATGAATGGATAGATTTCTAACAAATGAATAAAGAGAAATCTATTTATTCATTTGTTAAAAATCGATTCATTTATTATTTAGAAATCTAACAAATGAATGGATAGATTTCTAACAAATGAATGAATAGATTTCAAAATAATCAATGAATAGGTTTCTAACAAATGAATGAATAGGTTTCTAACAAATGAATGAATAGATTTCTAACAAATGAATGGATAGATTTTTAACAAATGAATGAATAGGTTTCTAACAAATGAATGAATAGATTTCTGAATGACGAATAGATTTCTGAATGATGAATAGATTTCTGAATGATGAATGGATAAATTTCTAACAAATGAATTTTAAAAAAGGAGATAAATGCTTCAAAATATTACAGGCAAGTCAAGTTTAAATATGCAATTTCTTGTTTAAATGACCAAAAAACAAATGCACACCTGCTGTCATCTCTATAAGTAATGATTACGAGGTGGAAGAGCAAAATTAATAAAAACATGATAACCAGGTAAATGTCATGATCACTAATATCATTACATGCATTACACAATCTACATATCAACTGTACTAAGCTTACAAACTGCCTCCTCGCAACCCTGTAGAATAAGTTACATAAAAGGTTAGGGCACTGTTTCTTGAGCTCTTAACTAAAAAATATAATTCAAATTTGAGTAATTTGATTGGATAATATTAGACTGATTTTAGTGCTTGGCCAATCAAAATTAAAGTATCTACTAAAATTTGCATTTTATCTTTAGTTAAGATTTCGAGAAACCGGGTCCAGGTTATCAAATGAAGGACATAGAACAATAAATATATGCACTTTTAAATAATGTGACCTCAATCTTAAAGTGGTCCTCATATCAGCTTTTCGATTCTCATATCAACCGTTCATTTGATCGAGCCTGTCATATAGCTTCTTGCGATATTAAAAAAAAAAAATACACAGTAGACTGTCATCATTGTTTAGTTGTCAGGGAAAATGATTACCATTTAATATATTATATCCTGTTCACTACATTCAAATTATTATTCTATTGCTGGAACTGATTCTCTGTTTCACAAGATATTTCTCACAATGCCTTTAAAGTCACAACTTTATTATAGCACAATGACATCGTGAAATACAGAAACACTTAATACACACAATCGTCATCGTTGGGAGTAAAACAACTTTATTATAGCACAATGGCATCGTGAAATACAGAAACACTTAATACACACAATCGTCATCATTGGGAGTAAAATAACTTTGGGTTGACAACATTTATACTTTGACATCAGGTGCTGATGATATTCCGGGCAACAGGAACAAAACCGATGATATTCCGGGCAACAGGAAAAAAGCTGATGATATTCTGGGCAACAGGAAATAAACTGATGATATTTTGGGCAACAGGAACAAAACTGGTGATATTTCAGGCAACAGAAACGAAGCCAATGATGTAACACAGAAGATAGTTGATCAACTCAGTCTTGTTCAATCATTGATCACTAATAAGGGAGTTAACTGTGTCTGTAAAATAAAAGAAGGTGAAGTTATTGTGATAATCATATTTCAGAAAAATGAGGAACCGCAGAGGTTCAGTGAGCATAGTGCTGGCTCACTAACCAGGAGGTCCAGGATCACATCACAATGTTTGCACAGAAAGTTCCTTGGGATGTTCAAGCATGATTTACCCTTGTCATTGATGAAGGATGGTAGCCCTGACATTGATTTATAGTCCAGAGGTTACCTTTAATCATATGCATATAATATAGTGGAATTTTTTCTGATGGTAAAAAGCCCTTGTCCATAGTCATAATGGGGGGGGGGGGTAGATTTTGGTCCGATTTTCATAAAATTCAAACTCAACCTTCATTATGGTGTGATCATATTTAAACTTTTTGGATGAAAATTGTGACCACTAGAGTGTTTACAAGCTAAAAATGTGAGATAGACTAGACTAGAGTGTCCACTAAAAAATTGTGGAAGGACAATATCATGTCCACATGAAAATGTGGGCAAATAAAAGCTAGATAATGAAAAGGAAATATGTTGAAAATTTCAGTCAAATTACTTCATACTAAGTGAGGTTAGGGCTGTTTGGAGAATAGCGAGGTCTTGATAGTCATTTTTAAATCTGTTGAAAATCTCGAGCATCAAGAGTTAATTATAGTCTTGGCAAATTAATGAATGTCTAATTAATAATTTATATAAAACTGAAGACCCTAAGAAAGACCTGCAATAGGCAGATTTAGCTCTTGAATAGAGAGAGAGAGAGAAATGGGGTTTAACGTCCACTCGACACAAACTAGGTCATTTCGGGACTAGCATATGGTTTAATTTTATTTCAATAATTCGCTTGCGCATAGGGGTCTTTAGCAGTGGGAGGAAACTGGAGGACCCGGAGAAAACCCACGAGGTTGGACAGGCGACTCTACTCCTTGTCACGTACAACCGAGGATTCGAAACCACGCCAGTCGACTCAATGACAGACTTTATGATATAGCGTGCTCACGCTAACCATTCAGACATCCAACCCCCCTAGCTCTTGAATAATGCATGTTGAAGGTCTAAAGAAAGACCTGCAATAGGCAGATTTAGCTCTTACATAATGTTCCTTTAGACCTGTTGTCAACTCTATGGACCAACATATGGTATATTTTATTTTCAATGCCTACTTGTGCAATGTGAGGGACCGTGACGTTTCCACCTACTACGTAATCGTCATTGAATAACGAATTTCGGGACATTTTCAATTGATTATATCTTTGTAAAAACTGAATGGAATTGAACAATTTTTGGACGAATATACCTATTTCAACTTTCTTATTATATTGCAAGTTCAACTTTCATAATATTGTAGCTTGCAAAGTACTCAAATCAAGGGCTTTGAACTTTATAGAAGTATTTATTTATCTTACTAAAAAACTTCTATATTTCAAATAAATATGGTGTTGACTTTCGTGAAATTTTTTTGTCAATGTCACATCCCTATTGTTTTCAGTCCATAACTTCTACTGTCCCCACAAATCAAATATTTTTATACTAAAATTATTAACCGCCCTGATTCTTATATACACTAACAAGGCTGAACAAAACAATATAAGACAAAAAGATACATGACTTGTTGAATAAAAGCGATATTAGACCTTATCATTATATTTATTTATACAACCCCCTTTAAGTAATTATTTGTTACACCTGTACCTGTCTCATACAAGCACCTCAGGTGTATATAAATATATTCTAATAAATAAAACTCGACTATCACCTTGTCACGTTCATCGTTTTTAAGTTGATGACACAGGATTAACCCATTGGCACTTGGATTGACCCAAACATTCCGTAACTATGGTTCCTTAGACCACCTGAGTCACATGAATAACTCTGACACCCAACAAAGGGTATAGGGTGTGAGATCTAAATATTAAGGCCACCTGCATATTTCGTCAAGTCACAAGATGTAAACAATCACATGCCCTAACCCTGTTTACATCTCGTGACCATGAGAAAATCTGCAGGTGGCCTTAATATTTAGATCTGACTGGTATGGGGTCCTACAACACTGAGCTATTCACATGAATAACTCTGACGCCCAACAAAGGGTATAGGGTGTGAGATCTAAATATTAAGGCCACCTGCAGATTTCGTCAAGTCACAAGATGTAAACAATCACATGCCCTAACCCTGTTTACATCTCGTGACCATGACAAAATCTGCAGGTGGCCTTAATATTTAGATCTGAATGGTATGGGGTCCTACAACACTGAGCTATTCACATATTTTAGGCTGTTTGAGGCTATCTAAGGACGGAACACAGTGGTTTTGTATGATAACAGGCTGTCAAGGGATATTTTCGTGGAGGAGTAGAAAGTGTTAACCAGTGGCTGCCAGGCAGGATACGCCCACATTTTCGAGAGATGGATAGAGAACAAGCTAACAAGAAAGTGATTTTTCCTACAATCAAGGGCCATAATTCAGGAAATTACAATTCGATATGCGCAAATATCAAAAGGAACTGAGATCTTTGTGTTATAAACTTACATTTCAAGTTTCAACAAAATCGGATAAAAATTGTGACCTCTATAGGGTCCACAACCTTGATATACAATATTTTTACGCTATTTGAGAACGAACGGCGGCCATTTTGCTGTCAATTTTGGGCCAATTTCCACAAAATTCGAACTCAACCTTCCTTAGGGTGTAACGGTGATATAATAATACGGTTTTTTAAATCGGATAAAAATTATGACCTCTATAGGGTCCACAAGCTAAAAACACGATTTTTGTACAATCAGGGGCCATAATTTAGGAAGTTATGGTCCGATATGCGCGAATATCGAAAGGAACTGAGATCTTTGGGTTATAAACTTACATTTTAAGTTTCAAAAAAATCGAATAAAAATTGTGACCTCTATGGTGTCCACAAGCTAAAAACGTGATTTTTCGTACAATCAGGGGCCATAATCCATAAAGTTTCGATCCGATACATGCCAATATAAACCTATATTTCAAGTTTCGTCAAAATCGGATAAGAATTGTGACCTGTAGAGAGTCCACAAACAATTGTGGACGTCCGGACGGACAGGGCCGACGGCATAATACGTCCACATGAAAATGTGGGCGTATAAAAATGACTTACACCACTTGAGTCATCCAATCTTAACATCATATCATCATCATCTTCATCATCTGATAAACTACTGTCATGGATTAACGGTCGAGTTTCTAGAGAATCATCAAGATAGTCACAATTAGACAAGTCTTTCGGTGCCTCCTCTTCTACTATCTCCATCTGTTGTTTCACAAAATTTATAAAAACCTGAATATGTTAAAATAAAAACAAATATAATTCAAGATTATGGATTACTTACATATTATATTATATAATTTTCGACAAAATTTTACTTGCCAGATCAACCAATTTTACATCGAATTAGTGTATTTGACATAATATCATACATAGAGTACTACACTAGCTGCCTTTTATGATACAGAGAGAGAGGGTTGAACCTCCACTCGACACAAACTAGGTCATTTTATCTCAATAATTCACTTGCGCGTAGGGGTCTTTAGCAGTGGGAGAAAATCGGAGGACCCGGAGAAAACCCACGAAGCTGGACAAGCGACCTTACTCCTTGTCACAAACAACAAGGAAATCAAAACCACACCAGTTTACTCAATGACAGACCTCATGATGCCATCCAGCCACCCACCTATTTACTTAGAATTCTCTTACATGGACAGTTTATCGTATCATGAGCAGAGGTACTGATCATCAGAAAACTTACATTATCCAGTGTATTTTGACTAACAGAGTAGTCTTCGACAGCCAGGTCTTGTTCAGCTTCCTCTAATATTGAGAATAGATATGAGAGAGATACGTTAGCTGTCTTTAATTCATACTGCAGTAAATTATAATGTTGTTCCTATTTAAAAGAAAAATAAACACAAATATTATATTGTTACTTTAAGACAATAATACTAAACAAATTAAATGAAATAGGGTTTAAAGTCCTTCTTTTCTTACCATGGCACCGAGCTAATGAAGACGGTTGTCTGTCATGCATTGTGATAGTGATAAGTTTTTCTGGACAATCTCTATCATCCAGAAAAATATTGTACGAATATCAATCTGAATACGTTGTCTACATTTGAAAATAATAGGTCATTGTATAGATTATCCAGTCTCTTACATAAACATAAACAAAGTCTAAGGGAGGTAACTAGTCCTAAACGCCCATGAAATGCATGACATTTCAGAAAATCCATTTGATTGCATTGCCAGTTCAATATCCAACACTCTTAAAAAAAATTTATGGGTCATATCTTATGGTTTTTTTTAATTAATCCTAATTCATCGTCATGTTTGTTTATAATAATGCAAGAATTATGGGATTTATTGCTGGAAGCAGTGCAACTCTTGCTTGATTTGGCCAAAGATACTGCATAATAAACCACATAAAAAAAAAAACCCTCCCGGTTACGCATGGGCAATGGAACTTTTCGTCAAATATTGACAATGTTCCCAGACCATCCGTATGTTGAAGACTAGGAGGTTCTGGGTGACCGAGACTACAATACAGCCTACTCTTATTTTAAATTCTATCAAGGGTTCTTTTATGCCCTTTTTCCTGCCCTCCCAACGACCAGACAGTGTTCCTTGCCAGGCCCTCTGTCCCCATCACTGACAAGGAGGAACCGCACTGGAAAATCTTCAGGTACTTTCTCAGCCCAATCTGAATAAAACACAGATCCTATTTCGTCTCGGTTTTTATAGTTAAAAATTTTGTTTTACTGGTCTTTACTACACTAGGATCTGAAGGAGTTGTTATATAACCTGCATTCTGGTTGATGTGAGGGATTAGCCAATGAAAAGGTCTGTTGCAGCGAGTTCTTGGCATGCAATGCACGGAACTGTGGGTATCCTACTAGAAACATCTACGTTGATTGGTTAATCAAATGTCTGACATCATAGGGTCAAAAGCCACTGACACAACCTCCCACTACAACTGGTCAGATCTTCATGTAGTGTAGGCCATCGAAAGTATAAAAAAATGAAACGAAATATAGATCTGTATTTTAATTGGACTGATTGAATGACCCATCTACTTTTTGAAAAGATAGGTTGCCAGGCAACAAAACATACACCCACAGCAGCTAAATCGTCCGAGCGGTCATCAAGGGTTGTCGCATATTTATTCCTTTGTAGATAATTGGGGGCCTTTACAAGACAGATCCATACAGATCAGATTATACATTTTGTCGTTTGCGGGTTTACAAGGTTCTACAAACTGAAAAAAGGGTCTCAACTCTGGAAGTAATCTACAGAAATTGTTGAAATTTGACAGGCTTTTTCGTTTTACTAATTTAAATAATGCATATAAATTTCATACAGATCACATGATGACTTTTGTCATTCAAAAGTTCACAGTCGCCTTAACTCTAGAAATTCAATAGACCTGTTTCACAAATTTAAATGATGCATATATAAATTTCATACGTATCAATGTGGGCGTATAATAAAATGATAGGAATGGTGCAGGGCTGGTAGACGTTTTTGCAGCATAGGGTGGATATGGGAGAGCAAAGTCTCCACATTACCTTTAAACAAGCATCTGGCATTTTTCTTTCAATAAATCTCTGAACATTTCTCTGGTTTCTTTCAAAATCTGGTCCTTTAATTCTAATACTAAATGTGTAGCCTTCACCATATTTATTTTTCAGATGTTGAATGGAGCCTAGACATTTAAACTTGCCATTTACCATGATAACCAGACGACTACATAATGCTTCACATTCCTCCATACTGAAAATAAGATTTTTTTTAATTAATAGTTTATTCAAATCCAGAGAGAAAGAGAGAGAGAGAGAGAGAGAGAGAGAGGGAGAGAGAGAGAGAGAGAGATACGGTTTAATGTCCACTCGACACAACATATTGGACTAACATATGGGGTTCAATTTTATTTCAATAATTCGCTTGCGCGTAGGGGGTCTTTAGTAGTGGGAGGAAACCGGAGGACCTGGAGAAAACCCATGAGACTGGACAGGCGCCCCTACTCCTTGTCATGTACAACCAGGGAATTGAAACCATGCCAGTTGACTCAATGACAGACCTTATAATACAGCGCGCATGTGCTAACCATTCAACCATCCAACCCCCAATCCTGAAAGGGATTGAGGAATAGGCATAGAAGAATAAATATGGATATTACATGAAGTGAAATGAAATGAGGTTTAACATCCTACTGTTCTGTTCCAACTGGGCTAATGAAGACGGCATACGCCATACAGTGTGTTATGCGAGATATTTTGCCAGGGCAGCTGCACTATGGCCTAGTATTTTACGTGCACACCAATGTACCATCCAAATGATTTAGACAGCTGTCCTTGTAAGGCCCTCCATCCTGCACCACTGTCAGGGGGAAATCACATCGGAAAATCCTAATGAACTTTCTCAGCCAGTGCAAAGATCGAACACGCAATCTTACCACTTAGCCACCATGGCTCCTATCACATGAAATAAGTAGGTGAATAAACAACAAAACAATAAAGTGAATACTGAATCAATATCATATGTATATATATATTTACACAGTGGCTACTTCGTTGCACCGGTCCAGTTATTACATGAATGATATACGTAAATAAACAAAAATAACCAATACAATGATTACTTAATCAAAAACATATATATATATATACATATTTACACAGTTGCTACATACTTGCACCGGTCCATTTATTGCTATATATATAAAGAGCCTGTTAGAACACAGCATTTTTTATATATTTGTACAGGAACAAAATGGAATGTAAACAAAGCTATTAGCCGTAGAAGTTAGTCACAGATGGCAAATTTTCAAGATTACTATTTTAGCATTAAAGTATCATAATAAAGCAAGAATCCAGAACATTCTCTTTTTCAAACTGTTTTCTCGATACTTAAATTCAATTCTAAATATTAAATGGTCGATTGTGCAATGCTCTGGCCAAGTAAAAAATTTGTCAAACGATCTACAGTATATTGATTGGAAACAAAATGTCATTTGGAATGGGTGGGGGAAGGTTGGATGGCCGAAAGGTTATTACGTGCACACTGTATCATAAGATCTGTCATTGAGTCAACTGGCCTGGTTTTGATTCCCTGGTTGTATGTGACTGTTAAAGACCCCTACACGCAGGCAAGTTATTGAAATAAAATTGAATCATATGTTAATCCTGAAATGACCTCGTTTGTGCCGAGTGAACGTTAAAACCCATTTTTTTGATTGGAAACAAAATGTCATATGGGATGGGTGGGGGAAGGTTGGATGGCCGAAAGGTTAGCACGTGCACGCTGTATCATAAGGTCTGTCATTTAGTCAACTGGCCTGGTTTTGATTCCCCGGTTGTACGTGACAAAGGGGTAGAGGCATATGTCCAACCTCGTGGGTTTTCTCCGGGTCCTCCGGTTTGCTCTCACTGTTAAAGAGCCCAACGCGCAGGTAATTTATTGAAATAAAATTGAACCATATGTTAATCCTGAAATGACTTAGTTTGTGCCGAGTGAACGTTAAAAGCCATTTTTGTCTCTCTCTCTCATTTGGAATGGTTGACGGAAAACATGTAGAAATAAGGTAATCAAGAAAGGAAGTCTACCTGTGAGAAGTCAGAATAACAGAACGTCCATCTTGGATGAGATTAAGAATAAGATCCCAGAGAAAACGTCTTGAATGTGGATCCATACCTGTTGTTGGTTCATCCTATAAAATATAACGTCAACACATTGAATCACTACACAACACTAGCCTGGTTGTGCCTGGAACTGACAGTAATATAAATTTGAAACCGGAAGCGGTAGGCCTACACCACCAGGCCTATGTTACTTCTTGGTCTGAGCTACCCCTATCCACCCAATTTTAGCCTCGGGTTGTGTACGGAACTGACAGTAGTATAACTCCGAAACCGGAAGGGGTAGTCCAACACCGACAGGCCTACGTTACTCCCCAGTCCAAGCTACCCCTATACACCCAATTTCAGCCTCGGGTTGTGTCCAGAACCGAAAGTAGTATAACTTTGAAACCCAAAGCGGTAGTCCAACGCCACCAGGCCTACGTTACTACCCGGTCCAAGCTACCCCTATACGCCTCTGGTTGTGTCCAGAATCGAAAGTAGTAGAACGTCGAAACCGGTAGCGGTAGTCCAACGCCAACCAGGCCTACGACTACGTTACTACCCAGTCTAAGCTACCCCTATACACCCAATTTCAGCCTCAGAAGAGCCCTAGTGTAGCCGCCAACCCTGAAGGGTTGTTTGTCCAACCTCATGGCTTTTCTCCGGGTCTCCCAATAATCCTCCCACTGCTATAGACCCCCGTGCACAATCCAATTATTGAAATAAAAGTTAACCACATGTTAGTCTCAAAATGAACAAGTTTGTGTTGAGTGGACAATAAACCCCATCCATACACTGTAACCTTGGTATCATTTATTTAATATCAAATCTTTGTTTAAAAATTTGTAAAAATCATTTAAAATCACCAAATATCATCTAATTTGTACTTGTATCTTTAGTTTAAAGCTGACCGTTCAATTTTGATAATGATTGTCCAATTTACAAGCAATTAATTCCTCGATCCTTGTTAAAAAATAAACAACCCAATTGATACCCAGGTTACAGTGATAACTATACACTAACTGTAGGTCTATAAATTTTACACCTAGAAAACAATGCAACCATTGATAAATAATAAAATCTTATATACGTACCATGAATATAACGGGTGGATGACCTATTAATGCTATAGCTGTGGAGAGTTTACGTTTATTACCACCACTATATGTACCAGATAATTTATTAGCATACTCCACTAATCCTAATTTCTTTAACGCCCAACTCACAACCTGGAGAAAAATATAATATGTAGTACAGATATAAATACTGGACTGGATGATATCCATTAGATAGAGAGCTGATAGTTCTCGCTATAATAAATTATAATAGTTAATAGAATAGATGCCATCTTATGTGTTTGATTTTCACTGAATTTGAATCCAATCAGCTGTTCAACGTCTGTTGATGATTCAACGTAAAAATGGAAAATCAAGACTTTGCTAATTATCATGACAGCGGTAGCAATGACAATCGAGGCTACAGTGATTTTAAAATAAAGTTTTCTCGGCTTCAAGTCAAGCAATTCAACTGAAATTTTCAGCATATTCCCTTTACATCATCTAGGTTTTAACTATTATAGTGAGAACTGCCAGCTCTTTATCTAATCCTGTATAATGTATCGTTAATCTCTTTACTAGAACAATGTAGATCTTAAATATAAAAAAAAATACAGAGAAGTATAAAAGTAGAAAAACAAAAGGATGGGATTTAACCAAGGAAGCACTGTATAATTAATTACCTGTTGCTCGTCTTTTGGTGGTATACCTCTCAATCTGCTATAAAACTGTAGATGTTCTTTAGCTGTTAGTTCATCATAGAGGGAATCAAACTGTGGACAATATCCTATACTTTCTTGTATCTTTTTTATATCTTTCACAATACTGTAAATACAATTATACTACTTTATGTCCTTCACAATACTACACATATAACACAATACTACTTTATATATTTAACAATACTACAAATATTACCAATATACTTGAAGTCTTTGAAAGTAATTTGCGGCATGGACAAGTCCTTTGCGAACTGGAGCCATGGTGGCTAAATTGGTAAGACGCTGGCTCGCTAGCCTGGAGGTCGCGTGTTTGATCCCTGCATTGGCCGAGAAAGTTCATCAGGATTTTTCAACGTGGTTTTGCCTCGTCAGTGGTGCAGGACGGAGGGCCTGATGGGACAAAATATCGAGGTCCCGTGTATACATTGGCGTGCACGTAAAAGATCCCTTGGCAATTGGAATCTGAAATAAGAGTAGTGCCGCTGCTCGAGCAAATTTTCCCTCATAGCCCAGTCAGAGCAGAACAGTAAGACTGTAAACCCCATTTCATTTTTATTGCAAACTACAATATTGCGTAAGTTGAATCTATAGCAGTAAAGATATGAGAAAGTGAAAATTTGTCAAACCTTCGAGACCCTCTATTGACATTATAAACCAGCGCCACTTATAAACGTTCAGTAAAATCTTTTGAATCCAAGCCAGGGGATTATTTACTATTGAGACTTTGTTTTCGTAATATTAACATACCTATATCCGTTAAGATAAGCTGTACCAGCAGTAGGTGGTAAATCACCTGTTAACATTTTAAATGTGGTCGTTTTTCCTGCTCCATTTACACCTAACAATCCAAAACACTGAAATAATATAAATACTACAATTAATAAACGCTGAAATTATATAAATACTACAATTACACATAATCACTGATATTTAGACTCATCTAATACACTGATATAAATATTATACATCTGTGAGTATGGCACTGGCTTAGTAACCAGGTTCGATCCCAGAGTTGTGCTCCCTATTGTGAGAAGTACAGGACAGAGGACCTTGCAAGCGTCTAGTCATTTGGATAAAACAAAAATACAAGCTTCACTCATGTAGGTCTACTTGCTGGCATGCAGGTAAAAGAACCCTTGACAGTTGGAGAGAGAGAGAGAGAGAGAGAGAGAGAGAGAGATGGGGTTTAATGTCCACTTGACACAAACTAGGTCTTTTGGGGACTAACATACATATATGGTTCAATTTTATTTCAATAATTCGCTTGCACATAGGGGTCTTTAGGAGTGAGAGGAAACCGGAGGACAAAGAGAAAACCCATGAGGTTGGACAGATGACCCTACTCCATGTCATGTACAACCAGGTAATCGAAACCACGCCAGTTGGCTCAATGACAGACCTTATGATACAACACGCATGTGCTAACCATTCAGACATCCAACACCCTCGCCCCCCACCCCTTGACAGTTGGAATTCAAAGAAGAAGAGTAAGAAGAAACAATTCTGTCTGAGCAAAATTTCCCTCATAGCATACTGCATGGTATGTGCATTTTGATTAGCTCACTTGTTGTCAAACCCATTTCATTTCATTTCTGTTTTGGATGTTCATACAAGAAATGAAACAGCAGAAAATCTAAATATTGGAAATTCCCTTAAAACCACCACACACACATATAGAAATAATATATTTAGTTATATTTTGCATTTTACTTAAATTACAATTAATCAAATCAAACTTTGTTAAGGAATTGATTTATTTAATTTACATATGTTATCAAAAAGATTTGAAGATTACCTCCCCTGGTGGAACTCCAAGACATACTCTATCAACAGCTACATGATTACCAAGTTTACTTGTTCGATATACCTATAGAATAAATATATAACAACAGTTTACTTATATACTTATATATACATATAACAATAATTATATTATTCTCATCCCATTCTATTCAATTATATGCTAAATTCTCTCAATATTCAAAAATTTTAAAACATTTCATAATAGTCCGGCAGAACTATAGCTGAACCTGGAAATTGTATACAAAGGGTGTCCTCTTTGAATAATCTGCCGAGTGACGCCAAAATTATCATTCTAGACTAAATACTATGGGAGTTATAGGGATTATTTGAAATGGCAGCCATCTTGGACGCCATCTTGAATTTCTCAAAATTTCAAAGGTCATCAAGGTTCACCCAGCAGATTCTTAAAGAGGACACCCTAGGCTACTAAAATCCATCAAAAAAATAAATTGTATACAATTACCAGGTTCACTCTCTCGAAATATTGGGTTTGGCGACCAGACTATAATATTCATAGGATATTTATAAGAACTAAGAAATTTTCAGTTGAAAAAAAGTTTTGCAGTTGCAATTATCATCCAAGGAAGCTATGAGGGTACTCGATTGAACGTTCTGGAATTGAAATCTCTCAATAGTAACAATCGAGTGAAAAGGGGTATTTTGGGCGACAAAGCATCCATCGACTGGATAAGTAAATATATCAACCAACCATGTAGCCGAAACACATTCGTTGTGTTTAATTACGTCACGATTCTACTCACACCACCTCCATAGTCGGGATTGACAGAACTGTGACAGGACTGAATTCCGTGTCACTCGATTGCAATTCTGGACGTTCTGGACTGTGAATCAAGCACCCCCTATATCTAAGTTGTACAATAATTAATTACCTTGGTAAGATTTTCCAGTCTCAATAGATCATATCGGCCATTTCCTTTTAATACTCGTTTACGTTCTGTTGCAACATCAACATCTTCATCATGTATAGGAGAATTAGATACTTTCTGACGTCTACAAAAATATACAAAAATTCACAATTTGGAGTATATTTTGGAAGGAATTAAAGCATCATTAACTTAAATATCTGTATTTTCCGGCACACAAATGGACTAATAATTCTATCCAAACGATTCTGATTGAATTGTTTTTTTCAATCTGATTAAAACACAGATTCTATTTTATTTTGCTTTTTATAATTCAAAATTTAGTTTTACTTGTCTGGAAGAGTTGTTACATTGCCGGCGTTTTGGTCGACGTGAAATGGTCTGTTTCGTCGACTTCTTGGTGTGCCATGCACGGAACTGTGGGTAAATCACTAGAAATGTCAACGCTGGTTGATTAATCAATGTCTGGCGTCATGGGGTCAAAAGACGCTTGTATGACCCCTGACACGACCTTCCAGTACAACTGGTCAGATCTTCATGTAGTATAGGCCATCGGAAGTATAAAAAATCGAAACGAAATATAGATCTGTATTTTAATCCGATTGACTGTTTCTATATGTCATTTAGTAATTGAAGTGAAAATATACAAAATATACAAAATATACAAAGACACGATTCTATGGAAACACTTAATGCCAATTAGTAGGCGAAGCTTCAACAAGGCTTCTCTAGTCTTTATCGACCAATGACAAAATATATAACAAATCAGAAGACATCATATGTACTATGCTGTTTGTATGAATGTATTATTTGTGTGTGTATTATTAGAGAGAGAGAAAGAGAGTGTGAGGGAGAGAGAGAGAGTTTAAGTCCACTGGACACAAACTAGGTCATTTCGGGACTAACACATGGTTCAATTTTATTTAGCAGTGGGAGGAAACTGGCAAAACCCCACGAGCCACGAGGCTGGACAAGCGACCCTACTCCTTGTCACATACAACCGGGGAATCGAAACCACACCAGTTGACCCAATGATAGACCTTATGATACAGCGCGCACATTCTAACCATTCGGCCATCCAACCCCCATGTGTGTATTATCAAATGTATATGACTATGTCTAAGTGTATATGTATGCATGATGTCCATAATGGACATTTTGATGCAATAAACATTCATCTTATCTTAATTATAAACAGTTTAATTGCCCGCGGATTATCAACTAAACATTTTCTAAGTCGGAACGTTCCTCTGATAAGATTGCCCGAGAGTTACCATTTGAGAAAATGAAATGAAATGAAACATGGTTTTATGGCACGTCAGCTCCAACCGGGCTATATTGCGCCAAATTACCATTTAAGAAATAGACTATAGAGATGATGAGTTGTACCTACCGTGGTTTAAAGAAGAAACTGTATTCACATAATAATGTTATAATAAAAAATAGTAGACCAATACAAGCCATAGCAACCAGATGACTCGTCACTAGACCCCATTTTAATGGTGACATCATCATATCATATTGTCCTGAAATATTTAAATTATGACAATTTGTCAGTCACCTGGTGTATCATAAAATACTAGCCGACTCTTTTAACGACATTATCATCAGAATTAGAATCAAAATTATCAGCAGAAGCATCGATAAGTCAAACTGCTTGTCATTCTCCTGCAGATTCAACCAAGCGTAGGTGGTACTGTACATTAGAGAAGTTTCACAACTTTACATTTACACAGTAAAACGTCATCAGTTTTTGTGATGTATATGGTTCAATTTAATTTCAATAATCCGCTTGCGCGTTGGGGTCTTTAGAAGTGGGAGGAAACCGGAGGCCTCTGAGAAAACCCATGACGTTGGATGGGTGACTCTACTCCTTGTCACGTACAACCAGGGAATCGAAACCACGCCAGTTGGCCTTATGATACAGTGCGCACATGCTAACCGTTCGGCCAGCCAACGCCTGCCCACCCACATAAAGCATTGACAAATCACTCCAGTTAATTTTGGTGTTATAAAAATAGTAAACTTACCAGTTTTGAAGTAATATTCATTTTTATATTCATTAAAAGCGAGATCCATGAGACCTCGACCCAAACAATAGTTCGGAAACATCATCAATACATATTTCAATACATTATGTACTCTCTCTAAATCCTGTAATAAAAAGATTAAAAACAATGAAATAATCTGTTTCTCTCATTTACAATAAAACAACAAATTAATACATAGATCAGATTGTATTAAATTATCGTCTGTCACATTATATTCAAATATAAAGTTTTGCAGCTCATTTTTAAAACCGCCCAAAAGTACTGCTCAATAAGTCTGCCTCAAGTCATCCGTTACAAGGTCCTAAAAAGGGTATTATGCAAGAGCTAAAAAAGCCTATTGCAAGTGCTTTTTCCGGCTTCAAACTATTATTTAGACATTTATTCATATGACAAGCCTAATATCAACACCCTAAACCATCAGATGGCTTAGATAATGAATTGATTAGACAACCACCCTTTGACAAACATAGCTGAATCCTCATGTAACATATAATTGCCATCTGGATTGTAACAGATTCAATAGTGGCCCCCCCCCCAGCCTACACACACACACTGCCGCCATAAGAAATATTTACCATTAATAGCGAACATATAGCAAGATAAATAAAATGTAAATCTTACCTTATCATAAGAGAATAATTCTAGTAGGAAACTGGTAATAATACAGGTTATACCAGTAAATAGATTAATAACAATTAAAAATATATAAGCTGTACTCGGTTCATTGAATATAAACGATGCTGGATACATAACAGGTGTCATAGACCAACTGAAATATACAAATAAATATATATACCAAGTTGGGAAGAACATATTTGGTGCAGTGGAAAAGAGTCATAACTTATCCCTCATAGTTCAACAAAAAGACATATAAAGTAGCCAAGTCTCTCACTCAGTATCATCCTAAAGTATTCGACATTGGAAACACACATTATTTGTGAAGTTAAATCAACACTGATGTTGTGATCTTACTGGGAAAAGATGGGCTTCTGATATCCAATATTTAAGACAAAATAAACATTTTACCATTGGTACATAAATCGTTTACCAGAACGCATTTCAGTGCCATTTGTAACAAGGGAATCAAAGAACAAGGCTAGACTTATTCCACAAGTCATGTCAAACTATGGCACCATATTCTTATCTGGAGAGCATGCGCAATAAATACTATCGGTGTAGACTGGAATAACTAGACGCTAGAGATTGCCATTCAATTGAGACTTCTGGCATATTTCACTGAACATAACTGATTTGAAATTAGAGTAAAAACAGAAACGATTGAATGTAAATCAATCTATATTACATTTCTAGGTCCCAATTAATATTAGCGATTTAGCTCCTTTAATTAGCAACATATAAATAATATTCATCTGATGATCTGGTTTTGTAACATTAATAAAATGCCTTATATATATCACAAGGCCATATCAATACAGTGTAAATATATAAGATATACCACAAGGTCATATTGATACTGTGTAAATACATAAGACATACAAGGCCATATACAAGATATACCACACAGCCATATTGATACAGTGTAAATATACAAGATATACCACACGGTCATATCAATACAGTGGAAATATATAAGATATACCACACGGCCATATTGATACTGTGTAAATATATAAGATATACCACAAGGCCATATTGATACAGTGTAAATATGTAAGATATACCACACAGCCATATGGATACAGTGTAAATATGTAAGATATACCACAAGGCTATATTGATACTGTGTAAATATATAAGATATACCACAAGGTCATATTGATACAGTGTAAATATATAAAATATACCCCTCGTTCATATCAATACAGTGTAAATATAAAAGATATACTTACCCATACATAAGAAATAAAGCAATAACAGCAGGAAGATTATCTTCAGATACATAAGCAGGTATTTGAAATATTATTAGTATCAATATACACATAAATGCTGGTATAACATAATTACACTGTAATATATAAACAATATATACTATAACATAGTCACACTAAAAATAACCTTTCACAATAATAAAGTTACAGATTCAAAATCCAACATTTTGGAATTTAAGAAATTTTATTTAATATATAATGTCACACTTGTAGTTTCTCATTCTCCAAACAAATCTTGCTATCCAGCATTCGACTTTGCTGTTGGCTCGCGCACTACACCAGTTGACCCAGAAGTCATTGGTCACATGATTAACTGTATGATAAAAATGGCAACAGTCAGAAAAATTCCTGCCATTATAAACACTTAACGAGTTTTTGTCAATTTTAGGGGGAAATGCCATCAATTACTACCCCTCCGAAAAAAAAACAGTATAAATTTGCATGTTTTATGTGTAAATGTATTAGGCCTTACATGCATGTTATAATGGAAAACAGATCCATGTGTATGTAATTCTAAAGTATTTACGACCCTTTAACCCCGTAATCCTTCACGAAAGAGTTCCCTGTATATTTGTAAAACCTTTATTATTTTACAATAAGTATGACCCCATTTCTATTAGGAATAAGTATATTATCATTTATTTGGTTTCCATTGTATTGTTTATCATTGTCTATCGATACCAAGAATCTTGGTGGCATAGTCAAATGAGCTGTTAGCAGAGGTTAGTGTGGACTGCAAGGGAAGACAACTCTGTTTGGGAGATTGGTAGTTTCTATTTATATTAATATTTGTCCTCTTCGATGTCAATCCCTAGGATAACTGGACTCTTTACCTTATAAGCTTCATACAAGTCACATTGGACAAATAATCAGCGTTTAAACTGTTTAGATATTATTTAATAAAATAAAATATAACTTACGATATCCCAGATATAATTTCCGAGCCAGTAAACAACCGGATTTATACCAGTAACAAATTGTAAATGTTTGGCTTTTGTTGATTTCTCATAAACAAGAAATACAACGAAACTAGCAGGTACGAAAGACATAGCTACTATAATAAATATAGCTATTAATACATCCGTACCCTGCATACTGAAATTATAAACAATAAACTTATTATACTTTATGTCTAACCAAGGAATCTTATTATCGTATAAAAATCAGATTATTTTATAAGATTACACGACAATAACACTGGCTGTGATGTTTATTAAGATATGTCCCTAGGTTTCCATGAATTCCCTAATTCTAGGTTCCCACTATTGCGATTTCTGCTATGATTGAAATTGTAATTTAAATGTGAAGTAATTGTGGTGATCTTATCTGGCCCCGAGTTCACAAAGCATTCTCAGACTTAAGTCAAGAATTTACTCAAAATTGTTCGCCTTATTTTAACTAAAATATATTCCTTTATAAAACTTCTGTTGTTTTAATGTATCAAGTACATGAATAAGGAACTATATGCAAAGTTTTGTGTTTCTGGATCAAAGATATTTCTCATAAACAGTGATTGAAAGTTGAGTAAATTCTCAACTTAAATCTGAGAATACTTTGTGAACTTGGGCCAGGTCTTATCAGGTCGTAGCAATCGTGTTGATTATATCGAAACGTATCTGCACATACCAGATCGTGGACTCAGTAGTGACAATCCTATTGTTACACATCGTGCAACAGTGGGAACCCAGCGTGAATTGAAAGATTGTTAAGAAAGGTAGAGAACAACCCAACCTGGTATACACACTTGGCCCATTATTAACTCTTAGCTGACCCAAGTCGACTGGCTAGGTCCAGGGTTAGGGTTAGCGTTGGGATTAGCGCTAGCCCTGTTTACATCTCGTGACCTATGACGAAAAATTGAGCTGGCCTTATCAAATAGCACTAATTTTAAATACATCAGTTTACTTACATATAATTCAGGGTAGACAACTCATTGTTGGTTTGATTCCATGGATGATTGACAGCAGTTATACCATAAGCAGATGGGTTACCAGCTGATCGGGGTAAATTGGCTCTCAAGATGGCGTTATTTATAGAGTTGAGGAAGACAGGCATGGAATGGTATCCTTTATGGTTAAACCAATACTGTAAACATAATAATACCCTTTATTTAGTTTTAAATTCATTTAAAATGGAGACTGCCAGACTCAATGAAATCAACACAGTTCCTATTTATCTTTCCAGTTTTCTACAATTCTTTTGTTTATGGAAAAGTTTTAAGTAAACTGCATTCTGTATGACTTAAGGGATAAGCCAATGAAATAGTTTGTTTAGTAGAGCTTACACCACATGTGCTAAGAATTCTGGGAGATATTTTTGAGTGGTTCTGAAAGGCTATTACATGTACATGTATGTTGATTGGTTAAAGAAACGGTCGATATCATTCAATCAAGGTTCTTATACATGACCCCTGACTTGACCTCTCTAGATATCTCTATGTAATACAGAGAATGAATATGTGAGAGAGAGAGAAATGGGGTTTAGCATCCACTTGACACAAACTAGGTTATTTTGGGACTAACATATGGTTCAACTTTATTTCAATAATTTGTTTGCGAGTAGGGGTCTTTTTGTAGGAGGAAACCGACCCTACTCCTTGTCACGTACAACTGAGGAATCCGATTGACTGTGAATACCAGACATAATTTTTCATGAACAGCTGTGATTGAGGTTACAAAAGACTCAAACATAAGACGATACTATCAAAACAGCTGTCAAATATATATATACCTACCTTAGCTAATTTTCTAACAGCCAATTTTTTAAACAAGGTTGGAGCTTTTTCACCAAAATTTTCTGGAATACACTCTTGTTCTAAACCAAATGACAAGGCACCATATCTACAGAAAAAAGAATTCCAAAAGTGTCTTAATTTCATGAAACCAAGACACAAAATGTTCCTCCAGAACTTTGATTTTTGTTAAAGAGTATAATAATTCAACAGGGCAAGATCAGCTACATCAAACAGATCCTCCAGAACTACATGGGTCCTGCACCAGAGGAATTAGTGATACACGTCGGGCTCAACAACAGGGAGGAAAGTGGACCAAGGATACACGAACAGTTGGTAGATCTACTCAAGGTGACCAGAGCAGCTTTCCCAACAACCAAGCTCTTCGCCACACAGATCCCCACTTCTCCCGACTCGGACAAGAAAATCTGATCGCCTACCAAAACATCACCAGCTACAACCAATTTAGCGTTCCTCATGATACATCCCTTCACAAAACATTTATACAATTCATTTGATTTCTTCTGTGTTGAAGTTCTAACATTCCAGAACAGAGTTTAAATATAGAAAAGAAAAGAAATGGGGTTTAACGTCCTACTGTTCTGCTCCGACTGGGCTAGTGAGAGAGAGAGAGAAAGAGAGAAATGGGGTTTTAACGTCCACTTGACACAAACTAGGTCATTTCAGGACTAACCATGGTTCAATTTTATTTCAATAATTCGCTTGCGCGTAGGGTCTTTAGCATGGCAGGAAACCGGAGGACCCAGAGAAAACCCACAAGGTTGGACAGGCGACCCTACTCCTTGTCACGTACAACCGGGGAATCGAAACTCCGCCAGTTGACTCAATGACAGATCGTATGATACATCGCAGCGCACACGTGCTAACTATTTCGCCATCCAACCCCCCCTCTGGGCTAATAAAGACGGACATATGCTATACAGTGTGCTATGAGGGAAATTTTGCCCGGACAGCCTACTCTTACATCGAATTTCAACCAACAAGGGATCTTTTACGTTCACGCCAATGTATACATGGATGTTTGGATTTTCGTGCCATCCTAATATCAAGATAGCTGTCCTTATCAGGCCCTCTGTTCTGCACCACTGACAGGGGGAAACCGTGCCGGAAAATCCCGATGAATCTCTCGGCCAATGCAGACTGCAAGACCATACATAATCAAAAATACTTTCGGTTAAAAAATTATTGAAATTGACCATTTCTAATTAAACATATTGATTTGACACGGCCATCTTTATGTGTCTAGTTATAATAATTTAGCTTTATTTCGCACACAAGACGACACAATCGTCTGAATGTTTTTTTTAATATCCTCTTACCTATGTGAGAGAGAGAGAGAAATGGGGTTTAACGTCCACTCGACACAGTCATTTCGGGACTAACATATGGTTCAACTTTATTTCCATAATTCGCCTGCGCGTAGGGGTCATTAGCAGTGGGAGTGAACCGAAGAAACCCGGAAAAAAAAAAACGAGGTTGGACAGTCAACCCTACTCATTGTCTCGTACAACCGGGGAATTGAAACCACGCCAGTTGACTCAATGACAGACCTTATAATACAGCGCGCATGTGCTAACCATTCGGCCCTTCAACCCCCCAATCCTGAACCGGGGAATCGAAACCACGCTAGTTGACTCAATGACAACCCCTTTCTTACCTGTGTAATCTATAATCGTAGGTTGTATACAGTAGATAATCCTCTGTGTGTTGTCCCGTTATATTTTGTAGAATGTCCTTAGATACGACCCGGAAACTAGGGGGATTAGGATGATAGGCTCGACTACATATAAAACCTGAACCATCTTTTAAACACTGACATGAAGGATAATAATGTGAACTGGAATAACTTGGACCTAAAATAAATATACAAAATATTATTCACAGTTCAACTTTCAAATGCCCACAGTTCAACACAAACTTAATACAATCTCATCATAAGTATAATCTATATGCGTAAAATCACTACACTGCAATCAAATCACGCTTCCAATTTTCACCCAGATCAGGCCCCAAGTTCACAAAGTATTCTTGGGATTGAGTTAATTAGAATCTACTCAACTTTCAATCACTGTTTATGAGAACTATCTTTGATCCAGAAACACAAAATTTTCTACATAGTTTCTTTTTGATGTATTTGATATATTAACACAACAAAAGGTTTATAAAGGGTTATATTTGAGTTAAAATAAAGCGAACAATGTTGAGTAAATTCTTAATGCTTCGTGAACTCGGGGCCCGAAAGTTTGGATCCTTTGAAATGTATCAATCTAATTAAATTTAGATCTAACTTGTATAATATACTGTTTGTCTACTCTATATAGTTAAACATAGACCAGGGGTCCATTCAGGACTAAATCTTAACGTCATACCACCTGGCAAGAAAATTCTTAACTCAAATTCTTGATTCAAGAGAGAGGGAGAGAAATGGGGTTTAATATCCACTCGACACAAACTAGGTCATTTCTGGACTAACATATGGTTCAATTTTACTTGAATAATTCGCTTGTGCGTAGGGGTCTTTAGTAGTGGGAGGAAACTGGAGGACCTGGAGAAAACCTACGAGGTTGGACAGGTGACCCACTGACCCTACCCCTTGTCAAGTACAACCGGGGAATCAAAATCAGATATCAAATGAAACATAACAAACCATAATCAACTATCGATGTCATTGCTAGCCTGCGATATTTACTGGATTAGGATCAGATTTGCTGCTCAATTTTCATTTATGATTAAATCATGAAATGGATAATCGAGACTCTGTTTTTTATTAATTATGATCGAGGCTAGGCCTAACATTCAATCGCTAAATTCTCAGTTCAGAGTGGATCAAATTGACTGAAATTTTCAACAAATTCTCTTTACATTATCTAGTTTTTAACTATTATAGTGAGAACTGCCAGCTTTTTATCTAATCTCCCATAATGTATCTTTAACTAGACTGTAAATATACGTAAACAGAAGCTTACCTAGTGGTGTATCTGGCTCCGTGAAGTTGATTTTAGTGCTGGAAGTGGGTGAAATGGCATCTGGGATATAACTATCTAAATGAAGACCAGACGTGAACACTTGTTGACATTCTTCATTATAATATCGCGATAAAAGTTCAAATGTCTTATAATCAAAATTGTTGTCTCTCAGCAAATCGGTATCGAATGAACTGTTGTGGGCAGAACGCAGAACACAAGTGGCACCAAGGCCTGATGGATAATGTAAAGTATTTATCAATTTCTCCGGCCCAGCATCTAGTTCTCTCCCTTGACGATAAAATCGTTCATTTGTAAACGGTACAAAGTTTCCGTGGGGCTGAGTTATGTTATAATACTGAGAAGGATTAAGCACTATAGGGGGCGCATCATCAACAGATGGCGCTGCTAAGGCAACAGTCATTGCCACAGCAACAAAGATGGCAGGTAAAATAATTTGTGAGAACAGACTCCTCCAGTTTCTCATAATGTAACGACAACGTTTAACAAGAACAGCACGGAACTGATTCAGCAGTAACAGTTTTTTACTCAGCATGCGGCTTCCTCGGCCCTCTAAAAGCACTCTTGGCGTATTTTTATCATCTGAAATATGAAGAAGAAAAACATAAGTTGCTTGGCAACAAAATGTGCTCCATCAGCAGGTATAAGCTGTCTGAGCAGTCCATAATGGTTGTAAGAGAGAGAGAGATAGAGAGAGGGCATTTAACAGCCACTGGACCCAAACTAGGGCATTTTGGGACTAACATATAGTTCAATTTTATTTCAATAATTCGTTCGTGGGAGGAAACCGGAGGAACCGGAGAAAACCCACGAGGTTGGACAGGCGACATTACTCCTTGTCACTTACAACTGGGGAATTGAAACCACGCCTGTTTACTCAATGACAGACCTTATGATACAGCACGCACGTGCTAACCATTCGGCCATCCAACTCCCCTGTAAAATAAAGACTCAAGTATCCAGTGGTGAATGTATAGTACAATTTCAAAAGTGTAATTTAAATCCCGGTATGGTTTTTAAAAAAATATGGATTTTATCAATAGTTTCCCACCTTGTTCATATTTTGAATAAATTTTAGGATATTTTCTATTTGAGGGCGTGTCTTCCCCTCCAGCAGCCATTGCTCCTAATTCTAGTATATCTACATCAGGGTTTTCTTTTACTCCACCAGTCGCCATTCCATCGCTTAGCAACTCATCATCATCATCATCAGGCAGCAGTAATTCATTTAGATTATTCTGATTGGTTGCATGTGCATCTATATCAGATGGATTTATAGGATGTGTTGATTCATCTCTTGTTATTATTTCTTCTAATTGCTTGTCTTCTTTTAATTCTAATAAATAATATATAATAGGATCAATATTTTTGCTTATAAAAAATTTCACTCCTTCAGCTCCTTCTAAAAGGAAAGCTGGTCATAGTTAAACATACATTATATAAGAGCTAAATCTGCCTATTGCAGGTCTTTCTTTAGGCCTGAAATGTTACCTAAATTATTAATTAGACAATCTTACCAAGACCATAATCAACTCTCGATACCATCGCCAGCCTGCAATGTTTACTGGATTTTAATCCGTTCTGCTGCTCAACGCTTGATGATTAAATCCAAAAATGGATAATCAAGACTATGTTTTTTATTGTACCGACTTTAGTAATGATGATCGAGGCTAGGCCTAAATTTCTAACGCTAATATCTCGATTCAGAGTGGAGCAATTTGACTGAAATTTTCAGCATATTCCCTTTTCATTATCTAGATTTTAACTTTAATAGTGAGAACTGTCAGCTCTTTATCTAATCTTCCATAATGCCCCTTTAATTTATTATTTGTTTAAAAATAATGAGAGGTACACTGAGGCTACAGCAACAGTAAATGAAATATAAAAATCAAGGCAAAATTAGCTCAAAAGTAAACTGAAGTAAATATATTATCTGCCACCAGAATAATATACTTTCTATGTATTCATTCACTTTTGAAGAATATACTTTCAGCGTAATTTATCTAAAGTTTGTAACTTTTAATATACTCACTTTCTTCTTCAAGACAAGCTGCTTCGGTGACCTTCAAAAATACTTCCTCTAGGGTCGTATCCATGACACCCATGCTGTCTATATATAGATGTTCTACACCACTTTCACAAACTTGGAAAAACTTCTCAAAATTTCCTTTTTTGGCTTCTTCAAATGGCAGTATGTAGTGTAACTCCCTGGTATTCTCACTAACTAAATAAGCTGATGGAATGTATTTTCTAATAAAATCTGTGACCTTTGACTCATCACAGGGTGATGTAGGTTGTCTTGGTACCCCATTGTGTACTGTAGTTTGTTCTTCTATAAATAAACCAAATATAAAAAACACTAGATATATGTATACCTATTCTAGACAGAAAATGCTACAATACTGTAATATTCCAAATATCTGGTTGATGCGAGAATTTAGTCAATGAAATGGTCTGTTACAGCGAGTTCTTGGTGTGCTGTGCATGGAACTGTATGTAAACCACTAGAAACGTCAACACTGATTGATTAATCAATGTTTGATGTAATCAATGCCTGACGTCATAGGGTCAAAAGCCACTTGTATCAACCCTGATGCAACCTCCCACTATAACTGGTCAGATCTTCATGTAGTAGAGGCCATCGAAAGTATAAAAAAAACGAAACGATATATAGGTCTGTATTTTAATCAGATTGGGCCACTCTATCTTTGTAAAATGTTTCAACAGTATTTAGTAATTAAAGGACAATATTGGTGTCAGTCATTATTACATATGTGATAGAACTGGTTAAATACATTCCAAATATAATTTTAACACAGAGATCATTGGTATGGGAGATGTGTAACAAACACGTAAAGAAACGGGAAGTGACGTCAAACATGACAAACACGAGTTGTCCTTCTATATAACTGACTGAAGTAACAAGCTCTATCACATATTTTATAATGACTGGCACCAATATTGTCCTTTAACTGGAAATCCACAGGTCACTATTGTGTTAAATACAATTACTGTTTATTACTTAGCGACGTTTCGACAAGGCTTCTCTAGTCTTTTATCCCATTATTCATATTAAAGGAGCTAAATCGCTAATACTTGGGACCTAGAAATTCATACAAATTTGTCGCAACACATATAATAATGTAATATGAATTTATATAAACTGATTTACATTCAAACATTTCTTTTTTTACTGTAATTTCAAATTAGTTATGTTCGGCGAAATAAGCCAGAAGTCTCGATCGAATGGCAATCTCTAGTGTCTGGTTATTCCAGTCTACACCTAAAGTATTTAATGCGCACGCTCTCCAGATAAAAATATGGCATCACCGCTTGACATGACTTGTGGTATATGTCTAGCCTCCTTTTGCGAGTCCCTTGTTACAAATGGCGCTGAAACGTATTATGGTGCACAATTTATGTACCAATGGTAAAATGTTTATTTTGTCTTAAATATTGGATATCAGAAGCCAATCTTTTCCCGGTAAGATCACAACATCAATGTTGATTTAAACATGCATTATGCAAGAGCTAAATCTGCCTATTGCAGGTCTTTCTTTAGGCCTGAAATGTTTTCTAAAGTATTAATTAGACATTAATTAACTGACCCAGGCCTTAATCAACTCTCGATGGCATCAGATTTCTCTGAGATTAAATAGATTAGTATGGTTCAGCGATACTTTGATTTAATCAAATATGGAGGACTGAGACTTAGCTTTAATCAACCAGTACCGTGGTTGAAATTATTGCACACGTCTGTCAAACCTTCAAAGGCTAATATCTTCGCTTGCAATAGAGTAATTTGAATGAAATTTTCAAATTATTCATTTTACATCATCTACCTTCGAACTATTATAGCAACAATGGCTAGTTCTTTATCTAAATCTTACATAATGTATCTTTAAATTGACAAATAATTCATGTTTTCAATGTCGAAGACTTTGGATGATATTGAGTTAGCTATTTAAAGGTTCTTACCTTCTATTTCCTCTGTATTATTATCTGATTTAACTAAAGCCAAGTGATAACCTTCTCCGATATTATTCTTTAAAAATATAGATGATCCACAACATTTCATCTGGCCATTAGATATAATAGCTATACGATCACCTAATATATCAGCTTCATCCATATGATGTGTTGATAACAAAATTGTTCGATCTGTCAATTGAATAAAAACCAAACATCTATCCAATTCAATCTAAAGACAAACTTATAGGTTCCTGTTTATCAATTAAGTTTACTGAATTAGAGTTAGCTCCCCTTGCATAACTAAGGGAGAAAATGTCAAATAATCAAAGGGGACACTTGATTGAACGTTCCAGAATTCAATTCTCTCAATCCCCAAAATAATGACAATCAAGTGAAGAGGGGATTCCGATCCACAACGCATGAGTTGACTGCATAAGAAAATATCTCAACCAACCATGACAGCTCAAACATATTCGTTGTTTTTAATTACTAACACCACCTCCATAGTTGGGAACGACAGATCTGTAACAGGACTGAATTTCGCATTACTTGATTGCAATTCTGTCACACACCTCTCAATGATAAAGTTTTCAGGGAAAAAGTTGACAGAGTTCACAGGGGAATGGCCG